GCCGCCGCCGCCACCGACCGCGCCTCTCCCCTACGCCGCTCTGAGAGCGCGGTGCAGGGGGCGAGCCCCCGCGGCGCAGCCTCACCGCAGTGCACTGCGCTCTCCGCGCCCCTGACGATTAGTGAGGAGGTGGTGTTGCACAGCATGGAGCTCGGCGAGCGTTTAGCGAGCCCCTCAGCTAGTTCTCGCATAAGCTGGCCAGCGAGCGGCTCCACAAGTCCAATGTGCAATGACCCAGCGGCAGAAAAATGAATCCCGCGCAAACACTCTGTTGGTAACCTCAGATACACAGGGAGACGGCTTAGCACCGCACATCCTCCCGTAAAATCCCTGTGTGTACGATCCGCCGACGTGGTGTCACCGCGCCGCCCGCATAGTACAGGCTTGCCCTCACACCGCCAAGCTGAGACACACCCGCCTCGCCGCCATCGGCGCTACGGCCTCCCACGCGTCCAGCGCCGGATCGTACCGCTCCACCGAGCTCAGCCATCGTAAGCTCGCCGGGTGCCAGTCAGCGACGTCTCGGTCCCTGCTAAGCCCGCCCACAACGTACAACTTGCCATCGAGCACCGCCACGCCGTGATTGGACCGCCCCGCCGCTACTGGCGCCACCGCCTCCCACGAATTTGCTGCCGGGTCGTACCGCTCTACCGAGCTGAGGATGTCACCGCCAAAGACTCCGCCATCGCCTCCCACAGCGTACAGCTTGCTGTTGAGCACAGCTACGGTGTGATCGGACCGCGCCTCCGCCATCGGCGCGACCTCCTCCCACGCGTTCGTAGCGGGATCGTATCGCTCCACACAGCGACCGGCATAGAACCCGCCCACAGCATACAGCTTGCCTTCGAGCACCGCCAAGCTGAATAAATCCCGAGATCTCACCATCGGAGCCACCTCCTCCCAAGCGTTCGTCGCCGGATCGTACCGCTCGACCGAGTTCAGGTTCTCCTGCCCGTCGACATTCTCGCCTCCCGCAGCGTAGAGCTTGCCGTCGAGCACCGCCATGGCGTGATTTTCGCGTGGCGTTGCCATCGGCGCCACGACATCCCAGGCTTTCGTAGCCAGGTCATACCGCTCCACCAGGTTCGTACTTGCGTTGTCAGCATCCATGCCGCCCACCGCGTAGAGCTTTCCGTCGAGGATGTCCAGGCGCAGACGGTGACACTCCCGTGTCGTCGGCATTGGCGCCACAGCCTCCCTTTCCCACACATTCTCAGCCGGGTCGTACCGCTCCATCGAGCTGATGTCTTCGCCGACCACAAGCAAGCGCAGCCTCCTTCCAGCCGCGAGCGTCTCCTTCCAGCCGCAGCGCCACGCGCGGCACGTCCCCTTGGCGGCGTGCTCCTTAGTCGGCAGCTGGGCGAGGATGTGCGGGGCGAGGTCCGGCGAGAGGAGGACGTCGGAGAGCACCCACTCGGGCTGCTCCACGAGCCGTGCGGCGTGCTCCTCCGCCACGCGCAGGGCGGCGGCGCTCCAGAGAGGCGCCTGCTCGTCGATGAAGGCGCACAGCTGCTGCGGCGAGAGGCCCGAGAGGCGGGCGCCGATGCGGTGGGAGGCCATGGAGGAGGCGCAATAGCAGGCCCCGCGGGGGGGGGGCGCGTAATTCTCAAGGCCGGGACGGACGCGCGCAAATTTGGCGAAATTACTCACCCACCGCCCCGATCCCCCCGCCCCCTTGCTCCCCTCCCCCCCTCGGGAGGGCCGAAGAGAGGCGCCCGTGGGGACCCCGCATTCCCTTCCCCCCTCGGAGGGCCGGACTGAGGCGTCGAGGGCCCCGCCCTAACGTGTAACGGACAACTTCCCACTTTCGTCCCCGAGCGAGC